TCAAATATTGGCATAGGTGCAGTATTAGCTCACAGGTTTGCAAACAATATTGAAAAACCTATTTCATATGCGTCACGCTCCCTTACATCAACAGAAAAAAATTATTCATCTATACACAGGGAAGCACTTGCTATAGTGTGGGCTGTTACTAAGTTTTATCAATATCTGCTAGGGAGACAATTCATAATTAAATCAGACCACAAACCTTTATTAGCACTTTTTGGGCAAGACAAAACTATCCCAAAGATGGCAGCTGGTCGCATCCAAAGGTGGGCATTTTTTTTGTCAGGTTTCAATTATACAATTGAATTTATTAAAGGTGTAGATAATATTGTCGCAGACAGTTTATCTCGGTTAATATTAGAAACTAAAAATATTTCACATAATAATGAAAATTCAGATGTAGTGAATTGGGTAACAAAACATTTACCAATTGATTTCCTTCAAATTAGAACTGAAATTGCTAAAGACTCAGTTTTAAAAAAAATTATTACTTATGTTTTAGGTAATTGGCCTCATGTTATAACTGATGACATAAAACCATTTTATAACCGTAAGTTAGAACTGCATGTCGAAGACAAAGTTTTATTTTGGGGGTATAGAGTGGTAATTCCCACAAAATTCACTAAACTTCTATTAACTGAATTACACAGTACACATCTAGGTATTGTAAAAATGAAAAGTCTAGCTCGATCATATTTTTGGTGGCCCAATATTGACAAGGATATTGAAGTGATTGCAAAAGGTTGTGACATTTGTATTATGCATAAACCTGAACCTTTAAAAGTAGTTTTAACTAAGTGGCCTAGAACTTATAAATGTTTTGACAGAATTCACATTGACTATGCTGGTCCAATTATGAATAAAATGTTTCTAATTATATCTGATTCATTTTCAAAATGGCCAGAAATATTTAAAGTAAAAAAGGCTGATACTAGTAATACACTTATTAAATTTAAAAAGGTTTTTGCCAGATTTGGTTTACCTAACACGATTGTAACAGACAATGGTACGCCCTTCACGTCCACTGAATTTAGTGATTTTTGTCAATATAATGGTATTAAACATCTAACTATCTCTCCATATCATCCATCAAGTAATGGTGCAGCAGAAAACGCTGTAAAAACATTTAAGACTGTTTTAAAAAAAATTATAGCTGATAATAAGATTATATCTATACAGTTAGCACTATGCAAATATTTATTCTTTTACAGGAATACTACCCATATTACCACAAATCAAACTCCGACTAAAATTATGTTTGGGAGAGATGTTATTACACGGTTTGACAGATTAAAACAAAATACATTAAATACTAACAATGAGATGAAGTGTAATAATGAAAAGAAAAATTATAAAGGTAAAATTACTGAAAAAAATTTTGATATTGGAGAGGAGGTATTTATAAGAGATTATACTAAGCCTAACCAGAGAGGATGGAAAGTTTGTAGCATAGTTGAGAGCTTAGGCAGATCAGTTTATTTGTGCAAAGATCAGACTAATGATAGTATACACAAAAGACATGTAGATCAGATTATTAAAAGTGGTATATTTTACAATGAAGTTTTTAATGAGAGTTTAAATGAAACATTTGAGGACGGGGGCTCTAATATTGTAAAAGACAAAGTTACTGATAGTAACAAGGAAACATACCATAGTGAAACCCCTGAGCCTAGTTCCACCCGCATTAAAAGGAAATGCATTTTACCTGCAAGGTACAGATCTAACTAAGCTATATTATATATTACATGTATTTTTAACATTTATAAATTTAAAATTTAAATCAATTATAATTAATAAATAACGATTTACCTTATAATAATTTTATTTTGTTATTAATTTGTATGTATAATAATTTTGTAGTGTTAAAGTATTTTTTATTTTTTATTATTCTTATAACTTAAAGGGAGGTAGTGTTGTATATTTTTATAGAGACGCGCTCTGGCGGACTGTGCCAGATAGACGCAACTATTATTATTTTTATGTGTGATGTTACAAGTTGTAATCAGATCATCATATTCATGTCTCATGATGTTACGAATAATAATATATTAAATGTTCTTGACTTCTTGTCTATTTTATTTTATTTCTTATAATCAAATATATAACATCTTGACACTAAGATTTTATGCATTGGGGACAATTTTCAAGCAGTAGGAGATTTTGTGGGTGTTAGCACGGCAACTACTGGAAGAATTATACCCAGAGTTACTCATGAGATAGCTAAGATAAGGAAAGATATACGCATGCCTTCTACCCAAGAAAAAATTAATCAAGCTAAACTTAATTTTTTTTCAATCGCTAAATTTCCCAGAGTTATTGGTGTAATTGACTGCACACATGTAAAAATTTTATCTCCAGGGGGAAATAATGCAGACATTTTTTGAAACCGAAACAGATACTTTTCTATCAACGTACAAATTGTAGCTGGAGCTGATCTAAAAATTAAAAATATAGTTGCTCGATGGCCGGGCTCAGCACACGACAGTAACATATTTTCGAACTCCCGAATCAGAGCCCAATTTAAAGACAATATGTTTGGAGACGCATTATTGCTTGGAGATAGTGGGTATGGAGTAAGCAATTATATGATGACAATTTTAAATGAACCTAGAACTGAAGGAGAACAATTGTACAATGAATCACTGATTAGGACAAGAAATACTGTTGAAAGACTTTTGGTGTGTTAAAAAGACGATTTCCCATTATTTCACTTGGGATAAAATCATCTCTAGAATTAACACAAGGAATTATTGTGGCTTGTGCTGTATTACATAATATAGCACGTGATTTAAATGAAGAAGAATTAGAATTTGAAGAAGGTATTCAGCAATTAATGCAAGCTTCAGAAGAAGTAAATGATAATTTTAATCTAGAAAACCCAAATAATAATTTTAATCAAAATAACAATCTAGTAAGAATTGCAATCATTGATTATTTTGAAAGGTAAGTACTGAGGAAATGCTTTTAAGTTACACCCGTTTTCATTTTACAGTAAATTGATTTATTATCAAATTTAAAGTTAAAGATGCTCATAAACTATCAAAAAAACTGACATGAAAAGACAGATAATATTATAAGCTATATATATATATAGCTATAAATATAGCTACTTAAATTTGTACTTAATGTTGTATCACATTACGAATTTAATGAATTAAAAACTAATAATTGTCATTAGAAATTATGGTTTAGTTATTGTTATCATATGTTTTTTAGAAACTAAATAATATATTTTATATAATATTAATAATGAATTTATGAAGTAAATTAATTTTATCATAGGATTATAATGCAAAATAGTATTTAAAACAATGTTTAAACAATAACATATAAGTATAAATAACTATTTAAAATTAAAAATGAATTAATTAAATTATTAGAAATTAATAGGTTTTTAGAAAATACATAACATAATTAATATTAATAGTGAAATAAGTAAATTAATCAAGAATAATAATAACAATATACTATCATTATACTATATTATATCATCAGACTTGATTTCAGATACTTGAGTATTTCTAATTTTTTTTTTCTATTTCTAGCTCAAACAATTTTTCATCATTTTCCTTTTTTTAAAAAAATATGCAAGCTCTTCTTTAGCTAGTTGAGTTTTAATCGTGATCAAATCAATTGTTTTCTGTCTTACTTCATCTTTTAAATTTTCATACTTTTTTTTTTGAGGTTGAGAACTATCATTGACATATCTTACCTGTTTTATTTTTGAACTAACTGGTGTTTTTAGTTGAGCTGGAGACCAAGATTTCCAATCTTCAGTGGAAATAATATTGGAAGAAAATTCATTTTGAGCCACATCAGTTTATTTTTTTGTTTCAATGACAGAGGAATTCAATATGATTATATTTTCTTCATTTACCACATTGGTAGGAATAACATTGTTAATATTCTCGTTTACAATATATGTCTCCTAATAAAAACAAAAACATAATAGGATATTAGGAATTTAGGATAGGTAAGGTTATTAAAAATAATAATGAAAAATCAATGGCGGCTCGGTATTTTTATTAAACAAGGATTACAAATAGAAACAAATTAGGAATTAAAGGAATAAAAAAAAGCATTCAATAAAATAGTATTCAATAGTAAAAAAAAGTATTCAATAAGAAAAAAAGTATTTTAATACTTTTACTCAAATACTTTACAACACTGGCAAAGTTGTACTTAATCAATAAGATATTAAAATTAATGTAAACAATATTCATTTTTATCTTAATAAATTAAAAGTAAAATGATACTTATTGTAATTGTTGGTAAATGTTCCTGGTATTGGTGTATTAAAAATCTACTACCTATTGTTGAAGATGGATGATTTATATTAAATCCAGAAAAATTATAAATACCATATTATTAATTTCATTATCTGTAAATGTAGTAGTATTCTGTATTTTATTTTCTTCAACAATTCCAATATCTAGTTAATGTATATTCAATAATTAATACTCAATAAAATTTAAATATCATCAATCATTGATAATAATAGTATTGTGTGAATTATATTATGTTATTATAAATATCAAGATTGACATTAATACATTATATTTAATACCTACAACGATATTTATTATAATAAGTTAAAATTAAAACTAAAATTGCTTATTAAGTTTAAGGTAACCTGTTAATGGCTGTTATTATATTAATATATTTATTTAGTTCAGAATCGGGTTAGGATTTTCAATAATATTATTAATTATTCATTAATGGTTTAACTAATTTTTAAAAATTAAAACTGCAGAAAATATTATTTTTAAGACTATGATGACATGTTATATATTACGGTAATGAGTAGGCTATGATAATTTTTACTCGCTATCAATGTCATCATCATTATATGGGTTATTTAATCCCTCTCCAGAGATATCAAGAAGAGAAATAATCTTGTCTATTGCCTCAGAACGGGGAATTTGTTTACATATACCACCATCAGTACTAAAAATTTCCTTCTTTTCTGAGGCCAATACTTTTTTAGAATCCTTTTTTAACTTTTCGTACCTCTCTTTTAATGATCTGAAAATTTAAAACTGTATTAAAAAAATTAATTATGATTGGTTAAGTATAACCAACAAACACACAACCAAGATTTCGTACATTTTAGGTAAGTATTTGAAATTAGTACTTACTTAGCAGAACGTACAATTCCAGTTAGAGCATTAAACTCGCTTTGGATTTTGTTCCATGTGACATCTTTAAATTTCCATATGTTTTGGTCATTTTTTTTATTTTCAATGATGTCTTTATATTTGATGACTAAGTTAGAGAGAACAACAAGATGAATTTCGTTATACTTGGGTCCTCTTGTTCTTTTATCCATAATGTTAATTTAAATAATATATATTTATATAATTTCAATAAAAATCAATATAATATTTTATTTTTATTTAATTAAATTAAAATAAATTTGAAGAATATTGTCAAAATTAAAGTTAAAAAAATATTTTACAGTTTTTAAACCTCGGTTATCAAAGAAAAACACAAAATGACTAAATAAATAAATGATAACAACGAAAAAAAGTGGTAACAAACATAGTTACTAATATCAATACTATAATTTCGGTGTTAACCTAGAGGTTGCCCAAACCTGAAGGTTTAAAAAGTTTGTGAGAAAGATATTAGTTTAAGTTATAGGTTTATACTAAAGTATAATTCCAAATTATTAAAAATCCAAATTTGGTAGTACCGTTTTGAAAATGATATCCCTCGACTCTACATGACTTACTCTATACCCCCGTCCCCCAAACAGTTTTAAGTCCCCTGGTAAGCGAATTAGACTTGAAGTGGTGGCAAAACCAGTATTTTACCTATGTAATCCTGCACCAATTTACCGGTTTCTGGACAGCTCGACCTCACCACAACTTAATGCAAATTGTAAGTATCCAAAATGCATTTCCCAAAAAGGGGACATCCTAACGAATCCATGGATATGATTGGCTAAGTCGTAGTACAATATTTCGATTTTTAATGAATTATAAATCTATAGATATCTACTGGCATAGTGCATATTGTGTCCGCCCGGCACTTACAATATGAAATAAAATTACTAAAAATCCAAATTCGGTATTACCGTTTTGAAAACGATATCCCTAGACTCTAAATGACTTACTCTATACCCCCACACAGTTTTAAATCCCCTTTCAAATTTTGAAATGAATATATCGGAAGTTTTTAAGCGGGGCAGTTTAGCGAGCGAGGTCCGTACGCGGTTTATCAATTCGCGAAAACCATTAGAACGCTCCTCGATGTAGATTTCCACGGAGTTTCCATAACGCTCTTATTATTTTTTTATTGGAAGAAAAAGATATGGGGGACATCTGGTTCCAACATCACATGTTTCCGGTATTATGCTGCTGAGAGTTTGAGGTGAAATAATAGTAGAAAATTTCAAATCTTCGTAGCTTCTGCCAGTTGCTAGAAATCGTAACGTCGCTGTTAATCTCGTACAGGGGCGAACGCAGGAAAAACTTTCGGGGGGGGTTTTGAAAAAATTTAAAGTAGGTATTCATAAATATCATATTATTCATACTGTATTACACTTTTCTATATTTTATTTTGGTCACTTATAATATATACATAAATACATAATACATATATAAAATACATATTACATAATATTATAGATAATAATTAATAACTAATTAGTAATTATTACAATTTGTCAATTTACATTATAAAACGAGATCTATGCGTCTTGGTTTTGTGCCATTATGTCAATGACCTCTTCGCAAGTCACTTCCACGTCTCTGTATAAGTTTAATAGCATCAATCCATTTAATCGCTCCTCACCAGTCTTGTTGCGCAGATATGTTTTTAATCTTCGAAGACAAGAAAAAGATTGTTCACTTGTTGCCACAGAAACGGGTAGAGTTGCACCAATCTGCAATAATGTGTGTATTGATGGATACAATGCAGAATTACAATAGTTGAGAGTCTCAATAAATGTTCTAGGCCGTTTATCCTTTGACATATTTAAACAATGTCTGAAATAACAATGCATTTTATGTTTTAATATAGATCACAAAAAATATTTTTATGTATAATAAATTTAATATTTTGTTACCTGTGCCACATGGTCATCTCAGCTATAAAATCATCAGTAGATCCCTTGATGTCATTTGGCCATTCTTTTGCAAAAGTATTTACCGTTTCACTGATTTCTTTTGTTTTCAGCTCAGAACACTTAGTTGGAAGAATATTTTGAATTTTTGACAATAGTTCCCGGTGTTCAAGAAATCTTATTTTTAACTGCATTAATAAGTGGTCCAAAAAAGGATGAAAAATGGACCGACGAAAATATTCCTCTGAACCGCCTTCATAATTGTCTCTGATCTTCTGTATTCCAATATTCCGCGGGGGTGCTAAATTAATGTCCAATTTGTCCGCCATTTCTTTTGCTGCTGCATACAAGCTTTTGAATTTCAAGTCCGAATCACAACGCATCTCATTGATTTCATCATACACGTGATTTGCATAATCAATGCATAAGCTAAGATCACAATCTTCCTTTTGTAAAAACACACTGAGATTTTTCATTATGCTGAAAATCGGCTTAACTACTGTTAAAGCCATAATAAATTGAGGTGTTTTTATCGATGCAAGCAGGGCATGAGGTTTGACTCCGATGGTTTTCAAATTATTTTCATCCATGTACTCTAACGATAAGCAGATATGTTCATATACATCGTTGAACAAACTGAGTGAGTCCAAATGCTCAACCCATCTCGTTTCGCAGAATTTAAGAAGACGTGTTTGTTTCGCACTTGGGCAAGACATTTGAATTTTTTCTTTTAAAACTAGACCTGCCTTATTGGATAGACGAAAGAAATTTACAACCTCTTTAATTGTGCCTATGCAATTTCGGATGGACGATATTTTGCACGCATGCGTAATAGCCAAATTCAAATTATGATTAGCACAGTGGACGTAAATAGCTTCCGGATATAGTTCTCGAACTTTGGCAGTACAGCCGTTGAATTTTCCGCTCATTGCACGCGCCCCATCATAGCCTAAACATTTTTTTAAAGAAAATATAACATAACCTAATATATATAAAGTTATAACCTAATAAATATTAACACATACCTTGCCCTCTCATATTGGCCAGGTTTATGCCAATGTTTTCCATCGTGGTCAGCAACGTATTTGCAAGCCCCTTTCCGGTAACGTCCTCAACAGGGATAAAGCACAAAAAGTCTTCTCGAATTTTGTATTCGTCCATTTTATCGACAAATCGAGCGCATATTGAAAACTGTTCAATGCCACTCACATCCGTACTTTCGTCAGCAATGACAGAAAAATATCTAGATTTGTTTACACGTTGCACAATATTCGTCGTTATTTGTTTCCCTGCTGCATCAATTATTTCATTTTGAATACGATAGCTTAAATACGTTGAATTCGCACCCGCAGTATTTAAATGATTGGCCAAAGCTTGATCGCCGTTGTCTAGGGCATAACGAAGTAACGCTCTGAAATTCCCGTCGTTTTCTACCGGCATTTTCCGTGATAAAGAGCCCTGATCTCGATGACCTCTTAATGCTAATCCTTGCCTGCTACACAGCAAAACGGCTCGGACGATCGGAATTAACTTATGTCTGTTTTCGAGTTGTTGTTTTTTTCGCCCTTTGTCAATTTCGCTGATTACGTCACTCTTCCGTTTTTCGTAAATCAACTTAAAATTTTGTCCATCCTCCATGGCGTCAAGGTGATATTTTTTTTTTTTGGTGTTCTCTAAATTTTTCAAGTGCTTTCTTCCAATCTTGAAATGCAGTCTGAACCAATAAATTTGTGTTCTGATGACCCCCTTTACCAACAGAATTTGATCCAAATGAGACACAATAACGGCAATAAGCTCCGTCTTCTGCAGCAGAATACACCAACCACACAAATGAGCGTAACCAAGAATGCTGAAATTTCAAATTTCGTTTGCCAGAAGTTGGAAACTTGAAGTCTACATCAGGTATCCAATTATGCACAAGAACTTCATATTTTTCAATGTCATTCAATTGCTTACGACAAAAATTAGCAATATCATTCGGAATAATCTATAAATAAAATATATTACAAACAACAATAATATAATATTATAATAATAAATAATATATTATATTTAAAAATATTATTTATTAATATTATTATTGCAAAAAGTCAAAAACTCACATTACGATCTGCGTCAGATTGCGACATCTCGGGTTTTCGTTTTTTTATTGGTGGACTGCCTACGGACGATTTATCTGAATCTACATCAATCGAAACATTCGAAACTGAGGTAGTATTTTTATTGTCTGGTTTAAAAAACTTTAAAATTGAACTCATTTTTAATATTTGCGTTTAATAAATATTACGTCTTTAGTATAGCAAAACAGACACGTGACACGAGTATACGACAGTTCGTTGGCATACTATGGTATATTATATTGATTATTGAACAATGATACAATTTCTAGAATTATCTAGATTTTAGATAAGACGGGTCGTTGCGAATTTCCGGTAGACGGCAATTACACTCGTCTTCTGTCTACATTACGTACATCAGCGGCCTTCGATGTCGATCAGTTATCAATAAGTTATAACATACTGTCATACTCAATTCGAAACTGCATTATCATACATTTTATTGGTGATTTTACTGTATCCATTAATTCACAAGCCATGGGAGAAGGGAAACTTTTTAATAACTAATAATTTTTTTTAACTTTTTTGAAATGTTATTAGTAATACCATTGATTATAAATACTATAGATTGCTCACTGGACGGTTTTTCGACGGCACGATAAATGTCGTGTAACGCTGTAGAGCGCTGTCGGCGCGTAATTAGTACTGGCGTGTAACGTTGTGATCGCTGCAGTCGCCAGTCATTTTAGCGACAGTGGCACGACGCGCTAGACGCGCTACTCGCTACATAGTATATAGTCATTTTTATGAATGACATATTTTGATCTTAATATATGAATCTGATCGCATGACAAAATATATCTATTTTGTCATGTCTGATCGTAATTTTTATCCAACAAGTAATTAATAGAGCGAACTATGTCAGCCCACATATGACAACAATGATGTGTATACTCGTTAAAATATACATTGTATAGCTTTGGTTATTAATAGTATTTAATATTTATAACCAATGATAATAGTATAATAGGCATTGAAAAACTAGTCGACAATTAATATCGTAGTTCATATTTATTTTGTCGTTGTTACCAAGTGTTTTTATTGTAATACTACCTATGTGCTGTGAATAAATTCAAAATATTTAGTTTACAATTTTACTAAATATGTCGGGTGATAAATGTGTGTTCATAAATTGTAAAAATACACGAAGAAATTCTTCTTGTACTTTCCATCCATTTCCATCAAATATAGAAATTTCAAAAACATGGATAGTAAACTCAGGTAAGTATACAAATATATATGTTGTACTATAACTAAAATACAAATGTATGTGTATAATTTTTGCATTTAGGAAATATTGCGCTAGAAGCTTTAAGTCCGAAAAAAATTTAAAAAAGATTTATTTGTTCTACTCATTTTAATAAAAATGATTATTCCGATCCATCAGCAAAAAAATCTAGACTAAAACCAAACGCAGTGCCCAAAAAGTATTCAGGTAATAAAGAATTTCTGTATCCTAATCCCATTTTGAATATGTACTTAATATTGAGCTTTTAAAAAAAAACGGGAAAGTTACCGTTATACTGTATAGTAGTCAGGTGTGTGAGTGGGTGGGAAAACATTATTTAAATTTCAGTTGTCTATAAATAACTCAAATATAAGCCATAATATTTTAAAAATTTAACTATGTATATAAAACACAAATATAAACATTTGGTGAAAATTTCAAGTATTTATAATGATTCGCTTTTGAGTAACAACTATAACTAATAACAAGTATTTTTTAAAATACCTATATANATTGAAATCATCATAATTTACAAAAATTTAATTATAAAAATTATTTATGATTATCTATCTCTTTTAAGCTAAAAGCTTGTGTTAGAGATAGAGTGTAATACAGTCTTACTAAATAATTATAAACATATATAAGTATATAACAAATTTATAGTAAAAACAAAAGGAAACAAGTATATACAAATAGTAATCAAATTAAATACAGCAGTAGATTTAAAAATATTTTAAATTATTTGAGAGAACAACCAATTATACACTAACTTTTTAGCATTATTTTCAGACAACTGAATATTTTTTTTATACTGACATGGCATAGAATTAAAAAACACAGGTCCTAAATAGTTGACAAAAGATTGACCAAAAGATTTGTATGGGTAATCAACAGGTATATTATACCGTCTATTTTCTCTTTTGTCCACAATATCTTGACCATCAAGGCCTTTATTGAAATTTTTAAAGGTGAACAGAATAGCAAATTTTTTATATAAAAATTTAACAGGTAAGACCCCCAACTCTCTATAATTATGCGAGGTAGAACCTGATAAGGAATGTTTATTTAAGCAAATTCTAACTATATTATTCTGATTAATTTGTATTTGATTTAAAAAGCAATCAGCCTAACCTCCCCAAATTAATAAACCATATTGAAGTATGGATTGGTACAACGCAAAATAAACTACACGCATTGTGTGTTTTGGTACCAGATCTTTTAATTTATAGAATTTATAGGTTACCTGACGTAACTTTCCTACCAAATTATGAATATGAAGATTCCAGCGTAAATTATTATCAAAAATGATACCTAAATATCGCGTACTAGAAACTTCTTTAATAGTTAAGCAAATATTTAAGTCACTACAACTCTTATCATCGTTACATCTATGTATTTTAATATGATTAAGTGTTTGGAAACTTTTATAAATTGAAAAGGTCATAAACATTGATTTATTTTCGTTAAGCGTCAGATTTCTGTCACACAGGATTCGATATATATTATTTAATCCAACAGTTGCTTTATGATGAACGCCGGTCCAAGTTTTATCGGTAAAAAGCAAGCAGGTATCGTCAGCGTAAGAGACCACCAAACCATCAATAATTAAATCACTTACTGCGTTGATATATAATAAAAATAAAATTGGACCTAAAACGCTACCTTGAGGGACTCCATATTCAATTGAACCTACCTGACTAGTAATGTCATTGATCCTGACCATTTGTTTTCTGTTCGTTAGGTAGCTTTTATACCAATTTAAGCTATGATTATTAATACCGAAGTTCGGAAAAATTTGAAATAAAATGGTATGATTGACAGTATCAAATGCCTTAGTTAAGTCCAGGAATACGGCAATTACTTTATTACTGTTATCTAATTCTCTATAAATAAATTGAGTTGTTTGATATAAAGCATCTTGAGTACCTATACCTGGTCTAAAACCAAATTGGTTTTTTGACAAGAGTTTGTTGGCTTCTAGAAACGAAATTAATCTTTTTTTAATAATTTTTTCAAATATTTTCGCAAAATTAGTAAGCAAAGAAATAGGCCTATAGTTATTAACATTTTTTTTATCTCCAGCTTTATAAATAGGTTTGATCACTGCTAGTTTAAGATTATCCGGAAATATACCTTGATGAATACTCATATTGAAAATGTACACAAGCGGATCAGCAACAAGTTCGATAATAAATTTTAATAACTTGCATGTAATTCTATCATGACCAGCGGCTGTGTCATCTTTAAAGTTATTTACGATGTTGATAATCTCAGAGTTAACTATCTTTTCAGAAAAGGAATTATCAAAAGAAAAGTTATTACTAGCATTAATAGTTTCATTTTTCAGAACATAATCAGCTTTCTCTGCTAATTTCTTTCCTATGTTAATAAAAAAATTGTTAAAAATGTTTGAAACCATCGTTGGATCCTTGCTAGTATCAAATTGTTGGCCGTTGTTAATAATAGTTTTAATAGTATCCTTATTAATGTTTTTGGTGTAGGTGATTTCGTTAATAAGTTGCCAGGTTAATTTCGGGTTGTTAGAATTTGTTTTGAATTTATTCTCATAATATTTCTTTTTAGCCATTCTTAGAATCTGCGTATAGTTATTTTTGTATTTTTTATAGTGTATGGTTAATTTATTATTGTTTGGATATTTTTTACATTTTAAAGCTAGGGATTGTTTGTGGCGAGTAGAGTTTAATAGACCAGCTGTCATCCATTCTTTTAATCGCATATTTTTGGATGTTATTTTTTTATATGTAGTCGATTTAAGAATAATGTCAGAGATAACCGTCTGAAACTCTGAGTAACATTCATTCGCCTTGTGTTTGTTATACACCGCAGTCCAATTCTCTCCCTCTAGTAATGCTTTAATATTATCATAATCAACGCAAGAAACATAGTTACTTTTATTAGTTAAGTGATTATTAATTGGTAGAGAGACACAAATTGCATAATGATCAGTAATATCTGTCTGTAAAATACCTGCATTAATTAGCGTAATTATATTTTCATTATTGTGGACAAATATGTGATCAAGGCATGTGTGATTTTGTAGTTTGGGTAATCTAGTATAAGAGTTAATAAAAGACGCAAAACCATTCTCTGATAATATATTAAGATAATCATTATTTAATGGACTAGGCCCTACTATGTTTATGTTCATATCACCTATAAGAATGGTATAATTATCTTTTTTTTTATTTTCTCGTATGACTTCTCTTAGAGTTTTAATGAAGGTGTTTATATCAGTGGCGTGTGATCTATATATACATAAAATATTAATTGGCATATCTAGATTATTAATGGAGAGTTTAACAATATTGGTATCAACAAATTCATATTCGAAAAAATCAGTTGTATAATTATTTCTAACAAACACAAATATACCATCGTTTTGGTTTCTTTTGATTGTAGAGGAGTGTTGATTATAACCTTCCAAGACATAAGCACCCTGACTCAGGGGATCATGCCAAGTTTCGGTAAGTACAATAACATCGATTTTATTTTTATTTTGGTCGCTCTCTAAAAATAATGTTAGTTCATCAAAATTGGTGTTCATGCTCCTTATATTACAACATATAATATTTACATATTTATTATTTATACAATTATTAACATCAATAAATTCCGAGAATGATTCAAAATAGTTAGTTTTATAGCTGAGGTATCCAATAATATTAAAGGCATTTTCCATTTTAAACTAAAAAAGTATAAACAAAGAAATTCTAGAGTCGGTTGTAGGCTTAAACTAATTTTGACAAGGAAAGCTCATCAAAAATTATAAAGGCCTTGGTATTCTCATTCTCTTTTATAAAAATTTTTGAATCCTTAAACCAGGTGAATTTATAACCTGATTCTCGAGCAAAAGCCCTAGTTTTAAAAAATAGATTTCTATTAAATTGCGTAAGACCGTCATTAATGTAAATACTATCATTAGCCCACTTAGAGTTAACAGTTTTACCAGTTAATTTTGATTTTTTAACACGTTCCATCAAATTTCGTTTGTCTTGAATTGAAGTCGACTCTGCTACTATTTTTCTGGACCTGTTAGGGATTTTTGAGAAAGTACGATATGCTTTTGTCACAGTGATCTTCACTCCTACGGCGGCTGCAATTGTCTCCACCGTTTTGACACAGTCCTCATTATCAATGTCTGGGACGCCAACAATTTCGAAATAGTTCTCAATTGATTTTTGCTCAATTAAATTTAGACGTTTTTCCAGAGACGCGAATTCATTTTTTAGTTTGTGATTTTCTTCTTTAAGAATTGAATTTTCCTTTTTGATAAGATTAATAGTTGTAATTAACTCTTGCAATTGCTTACCGAAGTTATCAAATTTTTCACTCATGAAGTTGACTGACTCAACGAGGTTATTGATAGTTTCATTTTGAACATTTTGAGTACCAGATTGTTCGGTGGTTGAATTATTTTTGGGAGTCTGAGGATTAATGCTCGGCTCTTTAAGTTTACATTTACTGCAACACCAGTTTAGTTTGGCATTATTCGACATCTTTCTAAAAGCTGTCTCCCTCAGAGCGGCACAAGTAAAATGTTGAAAAGCATTGCATTTTGCGCAGTTGAGATTATCACCTTCGAAAATAACATCATTGCAGACATTGCACAACATAGCTGCCATTTTAGATTAAAAGTACAAAAGAATATATAATAAATACAGACGTCGATATCGTACGAAAACAGATAAGCGAGCGATCACATACAAACACGACCGCACTGTTTGCGTAATCACTGTATACTAAATTAATATCCAATTTGTCCGCCATTTCTTTTGCTGCTGCATACAAGCTTTTGAATTTCAAGTCCGAATCACAACGCATCTCATTGATTTCATCATACACGTGATTTGCATAATCAATGCATAAGCTAAGATCACAATCTTCCTTTTGTAAAAACACACTGAGATTTTTCATTATGCTGAAAATCGGCTTAACTACTGTTAAAGCCATAATAAATTGAGGTGTTTTTATCGATGCAAGCAGGGCATGAGGTTTGACTCCGATGGTTTTCAAATTATTTTCATCCACGTACTCTAACGATAAGCAGATATGTTCATATACATCGTTGAACAAACTGAGTGAGTCCAAATGCTCAACCCATCTCGTTTCGCAGAATTTAAGAAGACGTGTTTGTTTCGCACTTGGGCAAGACATTTGAATTTTTTCTTTTAAAACTAGACCTGCCTTATTGGATAGACGAAAGAAATTTACAACCTCTTTAATTGTGCCTATGCAATTTCGGATGGACGATATTTTGCACGCATGCGTAATAGCCAAATTCAAATTATGATTAGCACAGTGGACGTAAATAGCTTCCGGATATAGTTCTCGAACTTTGGCAGCACAGCCGTTGAATTTTCCGCTCATTGCACGCGCCCCATCATAGCCTAAACATTTTTTTAAAGAAAATATAACATAACCTAATATATATAAAGTTATAACCTAATAAATATTAACACATACCTTGCCCTCTCATATTGGCCAGGTTTATGCCAATGTTTTCCATCGTGGTCAGCAACGTATTTGCAAGCCCCTTTCCGGTAACGTCCTCAACAGGGATAAAGCACAAAAAGTCTTCTCGAATTTTGTATTCGTCCATTTTATCGACAAATCGAGCGCATATTGAAAACTGTTCAATGCCACTCACATCCGTACTTTCGTCAGCAATGACAGAAAAATATCTAGATTTGTTTACACGTTGCACAATATTCGTCGTTATTTGTTTCCCTGCTGCATCAATTATTTCATTTTGAATACGATAGCTTAAATACGTTGAATTCGCACCCGCAGTATTTAAATGATTGGCCAAAGCTTGATCGCCGTTGTCTAGGGCATAACGAAGTAACGCTCTGAAATTCCCGTCGTTTTCTACCGGCATTTTCCGTGATAAAGAGCCCTGATCTCGATGACCTCTTAATGCTAATCCTTGCCTGCTACACAGCAAAACGGCTCGGACGATCGGAATTAACTTATGTCTGTTTTCGAGTTGTTGTTTTTTTCGCCCTTTGTCAATTTCGCTGATCACGTCACTCTTCCGTTTTTCGTAAATCAACTTAAAATTTTGTCCATCCTCCATGGCGTCAAGGTGATATTTTTTTTTTTGGTGTTCTCTAAATTTTTCAAGTGCTTTCTTCCAATCTTGAAATGCAGTCTGAACCAATAAATTTGTGTTCTGATGACCCCCTTTACCAACAGAATTTGATCCAAATGAGACACAATAACGGCAATAAGCTCCGTCTTCTGCAGCAGAATACACCAACCACACAAATGAGCGTAACCAAGAATGCTGAAATTTCAAATTTCGTTTGCCAGAAGTTGGAAACTTGAAGTCTACATCAGGTATCCAATTATGCACAAGAACTTCATATTTTTCAATGTCATTCAATTGCTTACGACAAAAATTAGCAATATCATTCGGAATAATCTATAAATAAAATATATAACAAACAACAATAATATAATATTATAATAATAAATAATATATTATATTTAAAAATATTATTTATTAATATTATTATTGCAAAAAGTCAAAAACTCACATTACGATCTGCGTCAGATTGCGACATCTCGGGTTTTCGTATTTTTATTGGTGGACTGCCTACGGACGATTTATCTGAATCTACATCAATCGAAACATTCGAAACTGAGGTAGTATTTTTATTGTCTGGTTTAAAAAACTTTAAAATTGAACTCATTTTTAATATTTGCGTTTAATAAATATTACGTCTTTAGTATAGCAAAACAGACACGTGACACGAGTATACGACAGTTCGTTGGCATACTATGGTATATTATATTGATTATTGAACAATGATACAATTTCTAGAATTATCTAGATTTTAGATAAGACGGGTCGTTGCGAATTTCCGGTAGACGGCAATTACACTCGTCTTCTGTCTACATTACGTACATCAGCGGCCTTCGATGTCGATCAGTTATCAATAAGTTATAACATACTGTCATACTCAATTCGAAACTGCATTATCATACATTTTATTGGTGATTTTACTGTATCCATTAATTCACAAGCCATGGGAGAAGGGAAACTTTTTAATAACTAATAATTTTTTTTAACTTTTTTGAAATGTTATTAGTAATAC